ATCCTTATTTGAGTGTTTTTTGACTGTTGATTCAATAAATGGTCAACTGTTTTGGATCATTGAGTGGTGTTGTTCTTGCTTTACGTATTGCAAACCATCTCACAGTTTCATAGACGTTTTTGCTCTTGGTTATACCTCTTGTTTTGTTGTTGCAAGGAAACATATTACTTTATATTTGTGACTACTTTTGTTAACTGTCATTAACAAACATCTAGCCAACAAATGTTGTGTTAAAGAAAGTTATTGGTTATTTGATTTACACTTTTTTTTGACATCGGTAGATTGTGTCAACATTTATGGTGGTTTCCTGATGCTTATATGGTATTCATGCTCACCGTGGCCTTATTTTAAACAACAATCATAAAGAATTTTTATGTAATTTAGTAAAGTTTCCTTCCATTTCCTTCGAACTCAGAAACACGAAAAAATTATTTATTTCATTCCCCTCCCCTTCTTTTCTCTCCATATTTTCCTTCCCTTTTTTTTTCTTTCATTTACTTAAACTCGGGAACTAGGCGTAAAGGATTGTTGAAAGTTTAGTATGTGTTCCTTTTATGACTTATTATCAAAACAAAATCCCCTCCCAGGTTTGTTGGCTTGGACTTCCATGTATCAATTTTATTTTGGGTTTGTGTTCCTTTTTTAACGAAAGAATTTTTTTTGCATAAATATAGAGGAGGTATTGGAGGGTATTATTGCAGGGAAATATTAATTGTTTTCTAAGTTATTGTATATTTTGGTGCCAAAGGATACATCACGAATTGTTGATCAAATTGATAAACATTTATAGCAAAAACTAACACAAAAAAAAAAAAAAAACAAAAAATTTATATTAAAAATAAAACAAACAATAACTACGATTTTTGTGTGTTATGAATATTGGCTTTTTTTTGGTTGAAAGAAATAAAAGAAACATGACACTTTTTTTTTTAAAAAAGTGCTAAATAACCCTATTTTGGTGAATAAGTTTAAAAATATACCTATTGGATAAATAAGTTTTTTTAAAACACCTATTTGGTTAAAAACTCATATCTATATTTACAGACATTTATTGGAAAAATAATAAAAAACCTCCAAAATAGCAAATCAAAATAGATAAAAGACAAAACTGCACAAATGGTCCCTGTGGTATATCGAAAATTACCACTTTGGTCCAAAAAAATTTGGACTAGCACCAGTGGTCCAAAAGTTTGATTTTGTTGCTACTTTGGTCCAATTTGATTTGAACTTTTTTATAATGACAATTTTGCCCTTTGTATATTCTTTTTTCATTTTTTTTCTTACAGAAATAAAAAAACAAAAGGAGAACTACCCCATTCTCTCTCTCTCTCTCTCCCTACATTTCCGTTTCACAATAATATAATTGCCGAAAATCAAATCGTAATATATCACATCGCCAGAGCTACCATTGTCTCGCTGGAAAATCAAATCATACAATGCCATTCAGACGTCTTTCTCGCTTTTCCACTCCAGTTTTCATCAGGCGAACCCTAACTTCAGTTCATTATTCACAGATCTTTGGTTCCTCGGAGATAACCACTGTCGGCACCGGATCTGCACCAAGAATGGAGATGGGTAGAAGGAAGTGGAAATGGAGCAATTTTTGTACCACCACTTCTTTAGAAAATCCTAACCTTAACGCCTCCACCATTGTTTGGAAATCATAACCCTAGCGTCGTTAAACCCTAAACGACTTATTGGAGTGGCGAAGCTAGGGTTTCTGTAGCTCGTAGATCATTGTCGCCGTCGGAGAAGGATAGAGACAAAGTGGGAAGAAGGCGAACAGTTGGTTTGCAAATAAATAAAGCACTTCATGTCAAGAAACACCTAATCACCATAATTGGACATTAAATAAATAAAACACTTATATACACCATAAGTCGAATTAGATTGCTATTTCTGATCCTAAATTGTTATAGCATACAAACAACAAAACATATGTATAGTATACCCAAATATTTTGGTCAAAAATAAAAAGTTGGCTTTGTGATTAGAACTACATGTAGATAAGAAAACTTGTGGCATGGTGCAATAACAAATCAATGATGGGGCATCAAAATAGTAAAAGATAGCATCTTCAAGATATCAAATCTTCGAACAGTAGAGATCTTTGATAGGGGTGTTTGCAAGAAGATTGGGTCATTGATCGAAACACCAACAATGTCGGATTTTTGGCAGCAGAGATGGTGGTAGCGGTTGGAAGGTGATTTCATTGCTATCTCTTGCGAAGTAGCAGAGTGGATGATGTTGGCGACTTAGTGGCGGAATAAATCTCCATTTCTGTTGAGAGAGAGAGAGAGAGAGAGAGAGAGAGAGAGAGAGAGAGAGAGAGAGAGAGAGAGAGAGAGA